ACCTGAGCCTGAAGGTCAGGAGAGCGCCACAAACATCCAGTGTGGTACCTGTACCAAAGACCCCAAGAACCTCAACAGCTACAGGCCGGTGGCACTGACATCACACCTGATGTAGACCTCAAAGAGGATGGTCCATCACCTCTTCCTGGTGAGCCCATCAGTCTACATTGTGCCTACAACTCCCCAATCAGCCTGGCATTGGATGAACGTGTGCTGTATAGCATTGAAGGCACTCGAGAATTTGATGGTGTAGTTACCTTTTCTGGGTCTCTCGCACAGCACTACACTTCTGATGACTCAGATTCAGATTGTCTGACAGGAAAAACATCAAATTACAAAGATGACTCACTGTGGTAGAAAAGCCATAAACTCAAATATCAATTCCTATTGAATTTGACAAATAACAAACATTGTCAAATTCACATCCAGCAGTAAACATAAGCAATAGTGTTAGCTCGGCTACCCCTGTCATTTGCATGACCCTTGCTTTGCAGATTGTGGTAGTCCCTCGGGACTGTTCTCAGTAAATCGGAGATGTGGATGGTAATTAAAAGGTCAGTATCAAGGCTACTCTGTTTACAATGGAGACAGACATAAGTTAACTCTTTAACATTCAGGGAAAACATGGCAGCACAGTAAAGAAATTTGCACCTAACTTTTCCTTAACAGAAAGACAGACCAACAGACAACGGTGAGACTGTCAGCATTCTCAGGCCTGCTCTTCGTGTGCCCGACCTGGCTTAGACTCTATGTCAGCCTATTTCTCTATTGTGTTGCAGCTTTAATGAAAGCAACAACCAGTCACTGAGGAATGTGGAGCTGTGACTCACTACTTTACACTTTTGCATGTCACTTGTTGAAGGCGCTGAAGGGAGGAGGCCTGTCTCTCCTTAACGCCTCCCCTCCCTCACCCCTTGCCGAGTGTTTAATTAAACTTTTTTGCTGTTATGAACGCAGCAGGTTGTAGCTAAGCCTGATGCTGGGCTCAAGGAATGGGTTTTCAGTTTGGGTTGGGGATGGGGGTGTGTGTGTTTGGGAGTGGGATTCGGGGTGGGGGTGAGTAAGCCATTCGTCTAGCTGCCACAGAGTCCTCAGCCAACCAGATAGGCGCTGGATAAGCTCCCTCGACCTCTTCTCCCAAACGTGGGGGTGGAAGTTGAGGGGACTGCGGCAGCAACCCATTGATCCAAAGTTTACACTCATAATAATCCTGGACTGGAGTCCAAGTTTGGCTCAAAGGAAGCTTGTTGGTGGGTGACAGTTAGGAGTTTACATTTTATACCAAAAGTGTTTTGTTAAATTGTCACATGAATGTATAAATGTATTAGTGTTGTTAGGTCTTATATAAGTTAAATATTATAAAATTTTTGCTACTGTTGTTTCATTTATGTACATTTATGTTAGGTCAGACATCCCTCTCTCTCTCTTTTTATTTGGGCAAACAGACATTTTGACAGATTTGCTTGTGTGTCATCTTAAACTGGAAACTCCTGAGACTCCTGTTCGGGAGCAGTTAGACGTGGCGTTGGATGCACTGACTGCATGCTCCATCTCACAAACACTGTTCTCATAGTAGGGTTTCCAGGTTTGATGTTGTAGCCTAGCATAAGTGTGAACAAAACTCAGATAACGCTTTAATGTCATGTGATTAGACATCATTGTTTTGCGGTTGTTGAGAGGTATCCAGTACTTTTAATAGTAAGTAAAAGTAAGCTAGCCGTACCCCCTGCTTCCAGTTTCTGTGTTAAGCCAGGCTAAAAATGTCCTGGACCTATCTTTGTACTGAATGCAAAGAGATGAAATATATTCTTAAATACTATTAGATAAGACTAAATTCTTCAAATCTTCAAATGCTTTAACATGTCATGTCTCTAAAGACAATCATATTATGGACTGTAGACAAATATTCCCACTTAGCTGACTAATAGTTCCTTGTGTTATCACAGTCCACCAACCTTTATCAAGACACATATAGGCATTCCATGTCTGACCAAAGAAATTTTGGAAAGAAAATTAAATCAAAGAAAAGGTTTCAAAGAGCAAACAAGGTGGTATCCTAGCAACACATGTATCATAAAATGTACTTTTATGTGTTAATTAACACCAGAAAGTATTATACTTAATTTCTTTCCCCTACCATAGATTTTGACAGGAACTGAACCAAATAGTGAAATAGAATAAAGCTTAGTTGAGTGTAGTAAAACAATCATAAAAGAGCCTTCATGCAAGTAATAATATTCAAACACACCTACATACAGTTTTCCCCCCAAAGCAATGCTTACATACTACTTAATTTAAGGCTGAAATGTGGACTAAATGAAAATCACACATAACATCATGAGTAAAATCTCTAAATGTTAGTAAACACAGCCTCAACACTGCACTGTAGTGTGACGAGCAATACCACAGCCACACATAATGACACACACTTCTCCCCTAATTATCAGATTTATGCATAGAAATAAATAAGATTGCAATGTAGCAATGTTAATACACTGACTTTACATGTCTGTTTAAGTAGCTTAATTTCACATTTACAACAAAAACAGCGAACATGCAGAGAGAATGCGTACCTTCCAGGGAAGTCCCAACACAAAGGGTACATCCCAAGTCTCTGGGTGCTTTTCGTTATGCTATTGTGTCTCCTCACTTCCTTTCCTCGCGTCTTAGCTCCTCCCACCGAGGATATGAGAGACAGAGGAGCCAAAGGTGCCAAATGAGAAATCCTTTGCATCATTCTTAAGCGACATCAGTTACTCCCCATTCGGGCACCTCTCAAACCTACTGGTACGAATCTCCACAAAACCCCTTATTTAAAAACGATTTCAAAACCTTACATTATCTTATTATTATCTATTATAGATAAATGTGAAAGTCTCTTATAGGCCTATAAAAGCACTACATATACAAGAGCCCTTTATTCATTTAGATGTGTTTAACATTGTTGATTATTAGTAGTATATAACATTTGTTGATTTTAATCATAATTTAATATCCTTTTTGAATCTTCAAGTTTATGTACAGATTAATTGTTGACTTCTTAGACTATTTAGTTACTTGCATTATTATTATCTGCACAATAACACACCAGATAAAGTGTTAGATTTATCACACACACTGTGACGGTGCATTATATTGCATCTCATCATGTAACTGTGTTCTGTTATATTATCTGTTCACATGTGGATGTGTGGAGGATACAGGGTTCCTAGGAAACACCTGTGTTTCCTCGCTCGAAGCTTCTCCAGAAGCCTTCTCTCTTCATTTATGGGATGGGAATATCCTCCATGAAGGCAGATGGGGAATGACTTCCAGGTCACATGTGTATCACTCCCAAGTTTTATATTTGATTTGTTTTCTGATTCACCCTCTAGTTACAAATCTGTGTTCATTGCAAGTCTCAACAACAAAAGGACCACAAACAACTTTCTTGCATTTATTAGGAAGATTTTTCTTTTCATGATCGCTCATTCCCCCATTAACTTTTATTATTGATACAATTAAAGTCAGCAAGAGTTGTGTTAATTGAGCTATGATCAGCTGCCGTCGTGGGACGTCGCTTCACCTGACGCTTCAGAGAAAAGCACATCTCCTTTCTCTAAACACATATTTCCTCATTTCTTCTCTCCTCACATGGCTCCTGTGTGTCTCTCCATGTATCTCCAGTAGGACTGACTAAGACGCAAGGAAAAGAACAGGCAAGGGCAAGGTGACGCAATCAACACACTTGTACCCGAGAGGTACCCTGAATCACACTACATCATGTGGACCTTCCCCGTCCAGGTGAAATCAAAATAAGTTTCCTTAGCGTTGGCAACCAGCTAATGTGAGTATGGGCGGTTGTGGCTCAAGTGGTAGAGGTTGTTTGCTAATCAGAAGGTTGGTGTTCGTTCCCCAGCTCCTGCAGTCTGCATGTTGAAGTGTCCTTGATAAAGATATTAAACCTCCAAATTGTTCCTGATGGCTTTGCTGTCAGCGTTTGTGAATGACTGGTTTCTGTTTCTGATGAGCAGAATGCATATGTGTTGTTTAACTAGAATAGGACACATTACAGTTTAGAATGTTAAAATTTAAGTTCATTGTCACCTATATAATTCTAGCATGCATTGAAATTGAAGATTCACACAGCTGGACAAAATATTATTTCTCCATTATGCCATGGGACCGGTAGCAAAGAAGATACAGGACAATTCATTCAGTAAACAAAGTGCATATTGACTGTAAGATGTGCAAGGAAGTCTAAATCTTGACATGTTTATTCAATTATATTTGTATTTTATTTATAATTTGGTGACCTATAGCTGACAATTTAGTACATTTAGCAAATAAAATCTGTTATTATTTTGCCATTTGAAATCGACCCTAAAACATGTAACAAATATTTGAATTAATTCTTTTCTGTAAAATATTTTTACTTATTTCTTTTAGCAGCCATCTGGAATATCAATTGCAGAAATGTCTAGAAGTGAAGCAATTAGTTGATTTATTGATTAGTGGATTGACAAAATTTTTTCATTATTATTGCTCATTATTTGATAATGTAAAAGTAACATCAACACTCTTAATTGTGAGGTCTTATGTAATAGTAAACTGAATATTCTTCTGTTATGGACAAGCTACAGTATTGTAGCTTGACTTTTTTTGTGTGTTTCCTGACATTTTACAGACCAAGCAATTTATCTGTTAATCAGTAAAATAATCAGCAGTTAAATCAAACATGAAAAGCTGTTAGTTGCAGCCAATATGTCCATGTGATTGATTGGAACCACTCTGGAAAGCCCTGACATGTAAATATAGAAATAATGGTAGTGAACAGTGAATCCAGTTTTAGACTGGTTTAGAGAGAAATAGGCACAGATACAATTGGTGAGTCCACTCCAGTACTCCAGCTCACATCTTCCCCCCCCCACTCTCTGTAAGGATGATTACTCTGCTTTACTCCAGCCCAGCTTGGTCCCCAGAGAGACTCACACACACTCCAAAACACAGGCTCACACACAGCGAGACCCAGAGTCCCATTGGTCAGGCATGGAGGTGCTGGTGCTCTCTCTCAGCAGCTAACTTGGAGCAGCTTGGATGGAGCGCTGCAGCGTGTTGGATGGAGAACCTGTGGACTGACAGCATTGGTCTACACTAACTGGAAACCTCAGTGTTTTACCATGGAGTTTGGAAGAGTTTGGTCCCGATATCAGAGGACAGTGCTGATCACAATGATGATGTTCAAACTGGGTAAGGCTTCAACATGTGCCATCACTGTACAAATGGAAATACATCAGCTTAATATATACATTTCTGCCATGCATCAGATTAGGAAAACCAACTATTCACAATTCCATCCACAACTGTAGCAGCAACCTTTCTAGTGTGTGAAGTGTATGTGTGCACATGCATGACCATGTATTGATATGTGTGTTTAGAGTTACTACAGGACCATACTGTAGAAGAAAATGATAGTTTGGTAACGATTTATTTTACAGTTTCTTCCAGGAAATTTTCTGGAATATTAGGAAATTATGGATCCATAAAGTAAATCCATCAAAATCCATCTAACATCTTAAATTTGTATATTACATTATATTGTAATCATGACAGTGTCAGTAACTTGGAACCAAGTGGAACCAACAAAACATTTAGTAATTGCTAAAGTTGTCTGTGTTTATGTATAGATTAGTCAGACATGCCACCACATTACTAAAATTGACTTCAGTGTTTACAACAGATAATTAACTAATTTAACAGGATCTAAGTAGCTGGTTTCCTTGCAACTTCCTCGTGTGATGAATCTGCAGCTGGTGCAGCACCAGTCTTGCGGTGTGTCTTTTGTGTGTGTGTGTGTGTGTCTGGGTGTGTTGGGGGGGGGTGTTTTGGTTGACCCCAGCACCTTATGAAACCCTGCTGACCCATTTTTCCCGCGACCTTCGTTTGTGTGAAGCGTCTGAAACTCGTTTAAACGGTTGCGGACCAGCAGCAGGGATTTGCTGCGGGTGGCATTGTTAAAGATCACCATGGTAACGAGCTGAGCGTCCGGCTGCACTGCTGCACAGCTTTTTTGTCTCAGCTTTGAATGGTGGGAGTGAGGGGTATTAAGGAGCATGGCAAGAGACCTGGCACTCTGAGTTCTTAAGAAATTAAAGAAAAAGACAGCTGCCGAAAAACACAAATGGGAAGCAGGCAAATGTGATGATGGAATCGATGATGGCAGGGATTGCGATGTATGGTTTGCTTAGTTGGACTACTATATTCAAAACTTCCTTATAAAAAAGTGCACAAAAGAACATCCACAGCATTTACCAACTAATGTACTAAGAGGAAACAGCCTAGTTGAGCATTATAGGGATTTGGGTGGAAAAGGGCCCCAAAATAAAAACTGATAGCTTTAATGAAATCAAGACTAAATAACAGCAACAACAGAAGTTATAGGAAAGAATAGGAAAGCATAAACACATGAAGAACCATCCTCTCTGGGCTTCTTAAGGGCTGCCATCTAAGAGGATTTGTTCTAATAAAAATTAGGAACTGGTGAAATGTAGCACTTACTGTAGGTTTAGTTTCAAAATCCCTGGGAGGAGCCAGCTGATAATGAACTCCTCAGAATTGAATGACTCATACAGCTAATACCAGAAAAAAAACACACATTTATTTGTATTTCATTGTAACTGTAATGGCCTAGGCCTGCAATTCTTTGGATGTAGGTGGCTTTACGTTATACAAAAACCAAAACAAGGAAAACAAACATTTTGCCCCTAGACAAGACAAAAACTTTGCGTTAGAAATGACGCAGCCTTTGCAGCAGCACAGACTGGAGACAAAAGGATGTGCGTCTCTGACTCAATGTGTAACTGTGACTGATTCAGAGAGGATTTGTGCATTTTTTTGTTTAAAGCAAAGCAGCCACCTGCTGTGGAGTCTTTGGAACACAAAGCTGAACCCAGGCAGAGCTGCCAGTCTCTTGTGGTGATTCAATAAAATTCCTCTGAGCTCAACTTGTGCGTTTGTCAGGATCTTCCCTTTCTCTGTGATTCATAGCATTGCTGTTCCTCTGCCCTGCAGCGAGCCCCTCTGTTGACTTTGTGTTGCTGTTTTTGTCACTCAGGGTTAATACTTTCTCTTGCCCTCCCCTCCAATCTCATTTATACATTTTTATCTCATTGGACATTATTTTAAGGCATGCAGATGCCTTTAAAAATCTTAAAATAGTCAAAATTGTTTTAGCAACATATATTCTTTCAGCATAACATATTCCTACATGTAGTTAACGCATTCTCATCTCAGTGCATCATTATCAATGGTTTCAGACAGCGTGACAAAGCATAATTAGTTGACACTTAAGGTACCCTTCAGGGTCTGTATGAAACGCCACTGTTTGCTATGCGGCAGAAACACGGCCGATGTGCTAGCAGTGCTAGCGATGTGCAGTCTGTACAAGACGCCCCAGAGCGTCTCATAGAGACACACCCGGGGCGTCTCACACGCTGTAGGGTACCTTTAGCGTCAAATAACAACGCTTTGTCACTTTTTCTGAAAGCGCTGGTATTGGATGCCCTGAGATGAGGACGGTCTGTTCTGACACACAGATTGTTGCAAAAGCACACATTTGTGAACCATAAGCTTTGGGGTGTAAGTTTGGTTATGTTTAGTTTGAAGTTTTGCTGAGGCTGTTACTTAATTTAAAAAAGTTGTTTCACTTAAATTACAGAAAAAACTTTATTTGCTTAGGTTTTGAGAAATGAAACAGAAATGTGTCTGGATGTTACAAAATTCCATGAAAGGATCAAAACTAACCAGCATATAGCTTGCCTCTGTGGCTCTTAGACCCAAGTCTGACATAAACTGCAAATTTAAAAAATACAAATGTGTGTGTTCATCCCATTGAAGGGTATTTTGTTTGGGTGGAAGTTCAGCGTGTTCTTACTTAATGTGTAAGATATGTGTCTTATAATACTACTTCGTGTTCAAGTGCTTACACATGGAGGGACTTGTTGGGTCTCTGTTAACTTTATCACAAAGAGTACAGTTATTACCTGCTCTATACGAAAAGTGCAATGAGATAAGTTTTGTTAAATGTATAAATGTATATGTTTGTATTTTTATATACTTTTTAACATACTTGTTTCTCTGTATAGAACACAATGTAAAAAACCAAAAAAAACTATCCACACTGGCCACAAAATAGTCATACAGATAATGATGAGGGGATTCTTTTAAATTTGTACTGACAAAGGTTTCCTGGAATCCACAAATCCACACTAACTTAATAAAGTTGGGTCAATAAGGAATCAGGTTGGTTTTTCCAGCTTCTATATTTTCTTGATTGGTCTTAAGATACATGTAATATAACAAGAACACCCCCTACTTCCCATCAGAGGAAGTAATTTAATGTTAAGCCAATCCACCAATACCCTTCTGAAGAGAGGTGAGGTCTCTGGAGAGAATCCTGGCATCCTTCTACCTGCTAATAGTCAGCAGCTCTGCTCAGTGTTACTGTTAGTCTGATATGCTGGTACCAGTCACTGCTAGGGATCAACCCTGTTTAGCCATAACCATGATCTATGAATGGGGGTGGGTGAGGTGGGGGTTCTGTGTGTAGGAGGAGCTGTTATCAGCTCCCTGGAATGTGTGAGGGGGAGATTCAGTTTAGATGGAGGAGTGAAGAGTGAGGAGACCCTCACTCTCTCTGTCAACCCTCTTCATGATTACAAGAGACTCATGAGATTACAGAAAGTGCGTGGTTTGGACTGAGACGTTGGAAAGATGGTATAGCTGAAGCCATTCGACAATGCAACAATCCATAAGCACTTCCGATGGAGTATACTGGCTCCTTAACACTCACAGTACTCACAGAGTCAGTTGGTAGCATTGCTGTAGACTCTTAGTCTCGGTACACTGTTTATATGTCTTCAAATCAAAGAGAACTGTTTCAAAATTTAAGTAGTTATGAAATGGCAACTGTGCCTGTCAAAGCAGGAGACTAATAGTGGGATGCAAAAACATACATTGGTAAATGAAATAACAAAAAGGAACACTTTTAGAATGAATTTTGCAATTCAGCACAACAGCACTTCTGAGGATTTATCAAGACGGTGGCAAGAGAAGTGAGAGGCAGATGTGAGGAGGAAAACTCAGTGATAAGAGCAGATAAAGGAAGTGATAGCAGATGTATGTCAGAGGAACAGTGTCTGCCATTTTATCCAAAGTACCCTACAGTATCATGATTCCACGCATATCTAAGTTTAGGTGCTTGTGGTGGAAATCAAGCACCTTGTTGGGGGGACACAGGAGAAGGTGTCAGAATTGACCTGCTTGACATACATGAGATTCCTCAACCTTAGGGTCGAAGAGAAGAATTTTAAAGCCAAACTATGTAACTTTTGAAAGAAAAAAATAGCACAATCTTCATCTTATATAATAAAATCAGTTCCATAGTGACTTGTTTTGGGAGGCAGGTTCAAGTCCAGCAGGGAATAGTCAGTACGAAGTGTGGACTGGCAGCTGGAGAGGTGCCAGTTTACCTCTTGCTGAGGTGACCTTGAGCCCTATTTGCTAAGAGCGCCTGACCATGTGGCAGCGTCATCACTGTGACAGGCATAATAATGCATGTCCTCTTTGTGCATGTGTGCGCATTTCACAGATTTCACAGATTAATAAAGTTTGTTGTTGCTCATCTACTCGCTCTCAATCAAGTCACCTAAAGAAAATTTAACATGCTGTCATCCCGTTATTGCCACAGATGCCAATGTTTAATTCAAGTTACATAGTCTTGCATTAAAGGTTCAGTGTGTAAGATTTAGTGGCATCTAGTGGTGAGGGCTGTGAACTGCAACCATCTGTCCAGTCTACCACTGCCCCCTAACTTTTCAAAGACCGTAGGGCAGCTATGGTGGCTGACACAGCACAAAAGGTGCCTCTTCTGAGACAGCAGAGAGTAGCTCGGCAAGAAATGAGGGTTCTTTAGGAAGATATATTAAGAAATTATATTTACTTAATTATTCAGTAAAACCATGTTATTGTGACTTGGCCAATGACCGATAACATGGAAAATATAAGCCAAGAATGTGAAACACTGTCACTCTTTCTGCACAACAGTCCATTATAAAGCACACAAAAAAAGTTTATACAAACATTGACAAGGGAAACATATTTATTCTCTCTGTGATTATGGACCCTTGCCAAAACTGCCTGCCAGCAGTAATATCTGGCCCGCTGCCAGAATATGGTGCTTTGATAGCGCAAAAAATATAAATAATTCAATTCAATTTTATTTATAAAGCGCCAAATCACAACAACAGTTATCTCAGAGTGCTTTTCATAAAAGAGCAGGTCTAGACCGTACTCCATGACGTTATTTACAGAAACCCAACAATTCCCACCAAGAGCAGCACTAGGCAACAGAGGCAAGGAAAAACTTCCTTTTAAGAGGCAGAAACCTCGAGTAGAACCATTGCTCAGGGTGGGCGGCCATCTGCCTCGACCGGTTGGGGTGAAGGAGAGAGAGGGAGAGAGAGAGAGAGGGCAAGAGAGGGACAGTGAGAGAGGGATGGAAGGAGAGGCAGAGGGGAGGGAGGCAGCCTGACCGAGGAGAGAGATGAGAGAGGGATGGAAGGCAGAGGGGAGGGAGGCAGCCTACACAATATCCACACACAGAGGTACAGACAGTAAAGGTGATGTTGCTATGGACTAAATGAAAAATGGTACAGATATTTATAGTAGTGTTAATGATAACAATCGTAATATTAATAATTATAATAACAATAATAACAATAGGACTGGTAACAATAATTGTAGCAGAGGGTGTCGAGCAGGAACACAGGGGCAGTACATACTTTGATAGCGGTGCTGAAATAAATGTCAGTCATGGCAGCAACAGTTACTGACATAATCACTTCCTCTTTAGTGGTTTTGCGTACAAAATAAAAGCACGAGAAGCTTGTTTACTGTAATGCAGTATTTGGAATTAAAATGAGCTTTTACTTTGAAAAATTAAGAACAACATTAAAAGAGCTCGTAGCCTGCTTGACACACCTCTGAAAGAGCTGTCAGAAAACGTGATTTCCCCTAAATGTCCTATGTCTGGAGAGACTGGGGAAATGCAAAAGCGTCCGTAGGTTGATGGATGCAGATCAAACACCTGAAACACAAACAGTGCAGCACATGCTGTGATCTGAGAAAGATTCACTGCAGAATCCATTTGTTGAAGTGAGAGAAAAAAAAAGTTGTCTCAAGGTGGGATCAAACTCTCAACCTTCAGATTAACAGATTAACCTTAGAAACATGACAATGCAATGTGGCGACGTCTATGGAAGGGGGGACCCACGGTTTTGTAGATATAAATGGCTCATTCTAAGGTAATAAAAACATAATGGTTTATTATGTAAGGTCTTTACACACCACTGAAAGCATAGTAATGGATTTTATATTGCATTTCTGTAGATAGATCCTCTGTCGATAGAAATATTACACACTGAACCTTTAAATCTGTGTTACTTTTCTAAAAAGAAAGAAGATTATAAGTCTTCATAACACCCCATTTCACCTGGCAAACAACATTCTGATGGGCATTAGCAGAATTGAGGCAAATCTTTTTTTTGGCCATAAAATAGCACTACATCCTCATGAATGCATTAGCTAATGCATTGTGTAGTCAGAACTTTAGAATAATTGAGATGCTAATGTAAAGGCAATGTTGGTAGGACAATGAATAACCACAACTTATTCAGTAGCAATCCGGCCATCCATCAGATATCTTGAGTATGAAGTTGACATTTTGGTGTGGGGGTAGCTCAACAAGAAAGTTCATAGAGTGTCCCTGACTGGCTGACATCAATTCTTCTGAGGTCCCATCCATACTACTGCATTTTGGTTTAAAAACCAACCAGAGACATTTTTCTACATTTGCACCTCTCGTTAAGACTAAAACGGCAAAAACGAAGACGTAAACGGGGAAGGTTGAAAATACTGCCACGTTTTTAATTTTAAAACTCTGGGTAGTGTTTTAGTGCGGTTCTCCGATTGGGTCTCATGCAAGTAGAAAAACAATGCTACTTGATATTTTTATTATGTTGTTCTTCGTCTGTATTTCTTTATTCTTTCATCAAATGTTCTGTAACTACAGAATAGACCATCTGCTTCAGCTAAAATGCCTGTGTGGATGGAGACCGTATTCGTCTTAAAACTCTGTTTTTAAACAAAAAAGGAGTAGTGTGGATTGGGCCTGAGTCCTGCTTCTGAAAAAAACTTACAGGAAAAAAAACAACTAAACAGTTAGTCATTGCATTTTTCAGATGTGTAATGTCACTATTGTACTACACATTACAACCTGAAGTACCAAACTGTGTACGAACAGTAGTGAGTAATACTTTCATTGACATCAATGACAGCTGCTAGCTAAATCATGTAATAAGTTTACTTTTAACACCATCTGTTGTGACCTTAAGTCCAGAGGAAAGAGGGGATTGTTACTCTTTATCACCAGATTGGTTTCTAAGCACACTTGAAGGTCAGAATTATAGGTAGCCCACTGTCAGAGGGGACAGTGTTTAGCTTATAGAAGTGCTCATCCACAATTGTGTACCTTTATGTTTTTCTGTTGGTAAAAAAAGTACTTACCATTACCTTTATTCTTGGGGACTTGTTCAACAGAATGTAAAAGGATCTGCGAGTTTATCTGTATTATAGGCGTTTAGTGCTCATACTATTTTGTTTTTGCTTTTTATTTTACACTTACCAAGGTCAAGTGACTTACCAAGGTCACTTGTCAATTAAAAGGTGTACTGTATACTGATGTATTTTTCCTTGGAATAACTATCGGTGAAGTTTGATGGCACTCAGCCATTTTTGCTCATGCTTTTAGAAATGTAGCCAAATCCACATCCCAGAGTTTTACTGGCCCTTCATGTAGCCCCTCAGTTCATCATCTGTCTGAAACAAGCCATTTTAACTCCTGTCTCTTTAAGGTGGAGCTGAAGTAGCCTACATCAGAGGGAAAGCCAGAAAAGGCTGTGCGATTAAGATTTACTTTATTTAATCCCCAGAGGGGAAACTCAATGTTTTCATGTTAGTATACACACAGGTCTGAAAGACACACACATGCACAAACACGACCCATAGCAACACACAGACAGATGTCAGAGTGAGGGGGCTGCCAGTCAGTAGGGTGCCCCGAGCAGTTGGGGGTTCAGGAACTTGCTCAAGACCTCCTTTGGCAGTGCTCAGGAGTGAACTGGCACCTCTCCAGCTACCAGTCCACGCTCCACAACTCTAGTCCGCCCCAGATGATATATTGGCTTCCTGACATCCAACGATTGTGCTGCTTTTTTCTGTCTTATAGGTTGCGAGCTCAATGATGGAACGAGCACTTGGTGTTGTGCTGTAAATGAAGTCTTAAAAAACAAGAAAAATATTGGATGGTGGGTCCTGGTGGACCATGATGGGGTCAAGCGTCAGTCTGTTGTGTGGCAGTGGGGGGTGCTGTATGCATCATCAATGACACAGAAGACTTCTCAAGCATATAAATAAAACATACGCATTATTACACACAGCACTTATACTTACAGAAAAAGGAAAAAAATGACAGTATCATGCTTGTATAAAATGTTTTATTGTGTATACACAGCTTACACAAGAGTAATACCTCTCTCATTAAGAGATTTCGGCTGGTAAGACAAAAAGACAAGAAAAATGTTGTCTATTTAATTGCAATTTTTGTCTTCCCAGGTCTATTGTGCACAGCAGCAGCAGACAAGTGTTTATCATCTCCCTGCAACAATGGTGCCAAATGTCTTGACTACCTGAATGACTACGTGTGCCTGTGCCCCAAAGGGCCGGTGTGGTACATGGGCAAAAACTGCGATGAGCTGTATGACGCCTGTTTAATGGCACCTTGCACCAACTGCACCAGCAAGCCTGGGACTGACGAGTTCACTTGCCACTGCCCGGACGGCTTTGCAGGGCTCGACTGCACTCAGGATGTAGATGAATGTCAGAGCAACCCCTGCAAAGGCATCCAGTCTCATTGTGTCAACAGAGTCAGTCACTATTCCTGCCACTGCCCCCTTGGATTGGGAGGAGAGGACTGCCAGGATAATGTGACTGTTTGTTCAGAGGAAACATGCCAGAATGGTGGCACCTGTATGGACATCCCTGACATTGGGCACCGGTGCCAGTGTGCTGCTGGGTACCAGGGGAGCAACTGTGAGGAGAACATTGATGAATGCCTATCTGAACCCTGTCAGAATGGAGCCATCTGTAAAGATGGCATTAATACCTACCAGTGTTTCTGTGTGCCTGGATTTCAAGGCTACCACTGTGACTTGGACATCAATGAGTGTGCCTCACGACCCTGTCAAAACAATGGCACTTGTCTGGATGAGGTGGATCACTACAGGTGTGAGTGCGTTCCAGGCTTCAAAGGTAAGACACTGTGAATGAGTTTTTGGGAGACACTTATGTTATTGAATCAGAGATTCTTGGTTAATGAGCAGACATTTGATGTTAATACATTTAACCATTTTCAGTTTAGTTTTCAGTCACATATTAGCTGAGGCTCACAGAGTTTTATTCATTAGAGTGTGAACTGAGAACTAAAACAGAAATTAAATTATGAATCACTGGCATCCTATATTGTATAATTCAGCAACAATACCAACATTCAGTGCCAATACAGTGTATGTGGTAAAGCAGAAAGTAGGAGTGTCCTGTCACAGAGTGGATTTTCTGCTCGCCTTTTTATGAACCGTAACCACAAGCTTTGTTGTGTTTAAGCAGCCAAAAAATAGCCCATAGTGTATTTGCCATAAACATGATCTTTCTGTAATCTTAACCACGCTGTGCTTCAGTCGTTCCCAACCTTTTTGACCTGCAACCTCAGAACACAAAGCTAAGCCTACTTGGGACACACAGTTCGCATTAATCAGTGGGTTTCAGTCAACTAAATTTTTCCCTCTAAGAATGTTTTTATTGGAAACATTTAAAGAGAGCCATATGAGTCAATTTGTCCAATAATACATAACAAAAGATTCCAAACAAAATTAAAATATATATTAGCTTTTCTTTTCTGCCTTCGTATTCTGTTACACATCTCTTTGCCCCACATGTTAATCTTGCAACCCCTTTGCCCTACGCTGATATTGTAGAAAGCATTTTTCTATTAAAATGCTGGCATTGTACATTGAAAGAACAAACAAAAACACTGTCATTGAACATAATCAGGGGTTTTGTAAAATCATTTAATATCAGTGTTTTGGTCTCTACCTGATGGGGGGGACACTGAGGGAGAGACAGGCACAAATACTGCGTGAGGTGAAAGGGGCAGTTGCATACCACATTAGTTCTGAAGACAACGGGATGTTAGTTACTGTAGTTTGGCCTGTTCCCCAACACAGTCAGTTGGAGCTGCAGCAGTGATTGTGACACACAGCTCATGGATAATAGTAAAGAACTTTAAAACCTTTTAACGCCCGATAGCTTATTTGTGACATCCTACTGCTTCAGTACTTCTTGGAGTAATACCTCAGTCAGATCTGAACTGACATGATACAGTATTTTGGATTTAGTGTGACTTACACTTCCTGAGGATTTCTTAATGTACTGTATCACAATACACATTCATAAACCCGCTCAGAAATCATAGAAAAAAACACTCCAGAACTTGTATGAGAATCATCACTATTTTAGGTTTTCAGCAATATCAAGGTAATCCAGTGCATCCATGGGTACCTTACAAACAGGAACTGCTATTAGGTAACAGCATACTTTTAATGGTGCCAGTTGGCAAAAAAACAAATATAGGCTAGGCTAACTCACTGACTCCATGGCAACATTGTACTTCCTGTTTACAGTCCCCAAATTAGGGGAACTGTAGTTCCACAAATTAGAGCATTATTTTGGGAAGTGGATTATTTTCATTTCTGCCTCATGGACTGACCCACAGTGTCAGACTTGGACAACCCTGTGGTCAAGGGGGTTAATCCTACCCTGTATAAAATTGTTTTGGTGTTCTTTTTGGTGGGCCTGGTGTATGGTCAAAGAATTACTTTCATTCTGTTATACTGTATTTTGGGACAGTAATCATTGACTTGAATTTGATCATTTTAAGGATGATTCCAAAACATCACAAAATCTGTTAATGAAAATACAGAGAAGATAGTATATTGCTTTATTTTGTATCTTTTTATACCAGTAACCAGGTTGCACGGCTTTGTTTAAGTAGCATTAGTCTGTGTAGCTGTTGTCTGTCTGCGTCTGAGCTCTTGGCAGCTCCAGTGTTATTGTGTTGCATCTGTACGTGTGGTAAGATAATTAGGTGTGTTGTCTACTTCACACTTTGGCTCCCTGCCATCCCTGCTCTGTCCCCTGCAGGGATTAACTGTGAGGTTGAGATCGATGAGTGCGAGGTGCATCCCTGCCAGAACGGCGCCACCTGCCGAGACCACATCGCCACATACACATGTGAGTGCATGGCCGGCTTCAAGGGCCAAGACTGCGAGGTCAACATTGATGAATGTGCCAGCATGCCCTGTCTGAATGAGGGCAAGTGCATAGACGGGGTCAACAGGTAGGATTACACTCACACACACGTCTTTATATTGTCTGCACATACCCACACTAATTTTAGTGGAGTTAGAGTGGTTTGGGTTTTTGAAATACAATAAAACCTCATGGCTAAACAGTTACACATACTGTGGACTGTGGTATAAATGAGGTCTGACAAACAGACCTAGATATTTGTGTTTTTGAAATAACAAGATGTGAACCTAGGCAGTTGAGGTTGACAGACTTGTCAGCTGGTGTTGATTAATTACATGAAACTTAATATTTGTAAAATGAAGGAGCTTTGATGCTTGAAAAGGCACAATTGCCAAATTTTGTCTGCAGGCTGAAATGTCTGCTATGACCTGAATTGTTTATTTTATTTGCTTTTGTGAGTGACCAACGTGGTTTATCCTCTGTGGATATTTAAGTTATAATCTAGCAGGAGCCCAGTAAATCAAGTGGTTATAAGCAGTAGGCTATTTGTTCATCTTTAACAGGGGTCAGTTCCTTTTGTTTATCTGCCACTAGCGAAACAGACTAATGAGCGACTCTTTTGGTTTTGTGTGTTTTAATATATAAAATGGTAGTATGTTTAGTCATTTTGCTCACAAGGGAGATAATATCCCCCTCATCCAGCCTCAAATTGCCTACTGGATATATGCAACAACTAAACAACAATACACATGTAAACTGGTATCGTCACCCTCTGTCAGTGTTTCCAATGATAATTTAGTTCAGAATTATTAAGGTCCTCAGAATAAAGGTTTTCAGAATAAAGCTTCCATTAGGCAACAATAATAATCAACAATAATCTTTATCTTTAGTTTTTCATACATTAGACACTAGAATGATGTCTTTGATGAGATGTCTGAATAGGATTAAGGTGAACTTTGGTGGATCATATTCCCAGTTATAATCAAGCTTGGACCCATACGTTGAGCTAGACTGGTGGCTGTAAGTAATCTCTTACATATGCGTAACCAAAATACACAGTTAGTGTCATTTTCAATCTGACTTTCTATTTTCTTTGTCTGTGTTTATATTCCCTCTCATGTTGAGCCTATAAGGCCGATGTGTCATCCAGCAGTGTGTTGTGTCCTGAGGCTGCATGGCAGACATTAAAGTTGACCAGGGATAAGAATTAATCCACTTACTGTCAGCCATTGTGATGAGTCATTAGATGGCTGGAGGTGGTAAGAATACCTGGTAGTAACTCCGATTGGAACAGCAGGGATTGAGGAAGATGGGGGAGTGAAGGATCTTAGGGACAAATCAATCAATTAATCAAACAATCAGATAATGAGTTAATCAATCCATTTTATTTGAGTGTTTTAAATCACCGTGCTTTAAAAGGTCAAGTACATTGATGAGCAAATACAGGTTCTGTTTATATTCTATTGTGTGAATCAACTGAAATAATCTTGAATGTCTTTGTTTTTTAATGTTAGCAAAGTTTAGATAGATATTGTTGTGTAACTGACACAATTACACTACACACTAGTTCCACTATGACTCTTCTCTACCACTGACAAATTGTGCTATGTTGCATCATGTCATAGGTAAAGATTTCAGTGATTTTATAACTAAAGTAAATCAAGTGCAACTCACCTCACCAGAGACATGTTGTTTTCTGCTTCTGGCCCCATTCCACTTGCTCTTAGTCAGGAAGCCTAATGACGATGTCTTTACTGACTTTACTTTTTGGGAAATGAAGGGAAATTCAACACGTCATTATCCTGTAATTGCCACTTGTGGCCACAGTGGCTGCTGCTCACCAAAATATAATAGCCTTGCATTACAGTTTTGTTGACTATACAATCTTTTTGAAAAACTGAGCCATTGGTTTAGAAAATTATATTACAGAACGTGCAAAAAATCTAGATAAAATTATCCACCTCATCTTGTTGATACTAACACAGTCTAATTTGTGTCTCTGCTCTTTTCTAGCTATGAGTGTGACTGTGAAGGGACGGGCTTTGTAGGCGACCACTGTGAAGAGGATATTCCTGAATGTGCTTCTGACCCCTGTCAGCATGAAGCCACTTGTTTGGAGGGGATCAACCAATACAAGTGCCTCTGTTGGCCAGGTACACCATTACTCAGAGCACCAACTCTCAGTCACTGCCACAGTCACACATAAACCCACTGTTCAGCATAGGTTATCACATTCTGTTACAGTATATATATCCATTAAATTTGACTCACAATGTGAACAATTCTTTTTGTTTTGAAGCAAGAGGGGGCTAAAGAGCAGGGCTGTGCTTTGCACCATTCACTATTTAATGTAGAGCTATATAAAGACAGCAGCATGGCACTTCTTAAATCCTACAGGGTTGTTATGAATTATGAAAAGTGATGTATAAGCACATTGTGACAGAGAAAGATGCAAACGTCAGCAGTCTTTTCACTGTCATGAATGTGTTTGTGAGAGTGTATGTGTTGTGTGCACATCCTTACGCAGATTTCTCCGGTGGATTTAAAGACTTACAGGATAGGTTCCAAAATTTTCAGATAGGCCTTAATACAATACTCACATATCATAAGTATTGTTTGCTGGAAGAGATATTAGTCACTGTAATTATTCCTTTTGTCCATACTGGCTATAAGCAATTGTGGTCGAGCCCTGGGGACTAAACCCACAGTACTTTTTAATCTTGCTAACTGTTTTCTATGGAAAGTAGCTAAAGTCTGTTTGAACAGTAGCTAAATGACATCACATACTAATTAAAATAATGGATGACATCATAGCTTAAACATTATTATTTTTCACGATCCTATAATTCCATCTATATACATCTGTAAGGCTTTTGTATGGACTCTGGACAGAATAAACACAAAAAGGTCTATCCAAAATGTAGCTAGAATTGTCACTAGGCTCTTTTTGGGAAAAGTGGCTGAGTCTAAATAGTATTAGTAGAGAACAGTCTCCAGTTATAGTTGAGAAGCCCTTTGCAGTTTCCCCCTGCTCATTTAATCAAATTTCTTCACCTATACTCACTGATATGGTAATGAAAATAAAACCCTCAAAAACCTGTCCAAGGAAGGTTAAAATCAAGGACTATTGGACTTGGTTGAAGATACTTGAAGACGTTTTGCCTCTCTTCGTCAGTTCTAAGTGACTGGGAGGGAGTCCCAGCTATTAACCTCTGTGGGGTTGTTATCAAGGTGATGGATACAGGTTGGTCCGTTAGTACTCCTGGCTGTTGTTACAACTGTTGTTGTGGTTGTTGGAGTTACATGAGGCCAAATGTGAGTGTTTGTTAACTTGCCTGGAAAGCGATGAAAGGCCAGTATTGTAGGTTGGGAATAAGTGGTGTCTCAGCCTTCCTCCCTTGTTCAATGATGGTTTCTCTGTTCAGGTGTGAATGTCCCCTTTTACTCCTCTTTCAAGCCACCTGTCATCCCTATTCAAAATATGTCCATGGCTGTTTGTGTAGTGGTTGTTTATTTTCCCCAATATACAGGTCTGTGCTTTCCTCAGTACATTGGACAGCATACACTAGATTGCTTTTCTTGTGTTTGGGTGTGCAGTGTTTCGGGTTAACTATACTACTATGTCTCAGTGTGTTCTTTAAAAAATGTGTGTTCTTGGGTAAAAAAATAGTGGAGTTTGTTGAAAATCCTCCTGAGTTTCTCTGATACTGATGGAATCACAATGTAGTTGTGTTTACTCTTCTTTTCCTTATCATCCGTATTGTTGGTTCTTCTTGGATCTTGGATGTGGTCTCACGTGACTCCGGCAACAGCCGGGAGCACTAACGACCCCACCATCACCTTGATAACAACCCCACAGAGGTTAAATTGCTGGGAGTCCCTACTAGTCAGTCTGAACTAAAAAGCGTCTTTGATGAGAAAAGAATTGTCTAGTATAGCTGCCCTTGATTTTAGCCTTCCTTGAATAACTATGACCTGGATGACTGAGAATCTTCAGAGACACCTCAACTTTCCTTTAGATATTCTTTGTGTAAAATTTCTGGAGGATGTTTTTTAACACAGTGACCCCCTCTATTTTGCAAATTTTAAACTACTCTGTCAGCAGGTTCCATTCCTGAAAATGCCCTTGTTCAACCCCATTTAAAAATTCTGTCTCTTGATTCTTCTGGTCTTAACAATTTTAGGCCCGTTTCTAAGCTCCCATTTTTAGCTAAGGTTTTACTTTATGAAAGCATCTATCTAAGCTGTGACCCTACAAACAACTTTCAGAGGGTGCCCTTCCAGTGGAAGTGGAGAACACATGAGGACGTGTCTTCCAGGGTGCCCTTCCAGGCTCAAATGCATAATCCCATGTGTGTTTTCAGGTTACGAGGGAGAGAATTGCCAGGTTGATATAAATGAGTGTGAGCAGCATCCCTGTGAGAATGATGGTGAGTGTTTCCAGCGCTCAGATATCCTGAGCTACGGGAGGCTGCCTGAACTCAGCAAAGACAATTTCAGCTATGAAGAGGCAGCTGGCTTCATCTGCCACTGTCTGCCAGGATTCACTGGTAAGTTAGCTCACAAAAAAAGCCTTTAGTTTCTAAAAATATTGCCCCATTAACACATCATGAAGTAATGAGGACATAGTTTATAGACATTAATATGTTCCATTTGCAGGAGACAACTGCTCTGTCGATGTGGACGAGTGTGTGTCTGCTCCATGTCAGCATGGGGGAAGCTGTCAGGATCTGGTCAACTCTTATCAATGTGTGTGTCCAGACGGCTTCACAGGTAGGAGAAACCTCTCATCTGCTCTTCTACTCTTATCTACTGACATAACAAAACAAAATTGAGCTGCTCTTCCCCCAGAGGCACCCACTTTTATCATGTCCCTTTTCTGTTCATCCTCACTGACTGAAAGAGAAAAAGCACTACCTGAAATTCACACAGCAGTTGTTGCATGAGCTTGTGGTCAGTGATCCTATACAGCTTTGACTCTGACTTACTGAGGCTGAACATTACTACAGCTGAAGACATGACTCTGGAGTTCAGACAAACATCACCTGCACTTTCCCAGACTGTTAAAAGATAACAGTGGACAGTGTACCTTGATGCATTGATGATATTGAGTTTTGACTTAAATACTGAGGCTGAATATGGTAGAAAGGGGAACAAAGTGGTAACTGTGTCCCAATACCATACTACATACTAGCAGCAGCAGCCAACCTTGTCAGGTGCCTAGTGGCTATTGTGAGAAATAATTCATGTCATTTTACTAGCAGAAATGTCATTCATTCTCTGGCTGCTTCTCCTATAATTTTCACATATTTTAATTCATCTCTGATTAATAATCGCTACGTCTAGAAACCTTGTACACTAAATCCAATACGTTTGATTATTTTTATTTGTCGCGAAAATTCACAATACAAGACACAATGGAGCCATCAACCATTGAGGATGATTCTCTGGACAGTTCTGTTCTCTCTCATTTCTTCCCTTTCTGTCGCCTCTCTCTGCCCCTGTCTTGCATTTGACACCGCAGCTACCTGAAGGGTCTGAGCTGTCTGTGTGCTGTCCTTCACTCTCCTCTTCGTCATCATCATGCCCCTGAATATTACTCTATGGCTCGTTCGTCTTTAGGCCATAAAGTATTGGCTATCTGAGTTATGGACTGATGTTGTGCCTTTGACAGAAAAAAGGCAGAAAATTGAACCTCTTTTGAAAACTTTAATGACAATTAAATGAAAGCTTAGGATTCATATTTATTTTAAAACTAGCAGTTAAACTAAAAGTTTATTTTAAAATTTCATTTTGTAGGACATTTGCTTATCACATGGACTTCTATTTATTGTGTGTTATTTATACTAGATTAGATTGGACTTTATCACTATCTTTCATTGTTTTTGTACTGATTTGCCTCACTGCAAAAACAAGTTCCTTTTGAGACCCAATTTAGATAGTGAAGTGAAGTGAAGTGAAGCTCTGCAGAAGAAGCCAGTGTAGAGAGATACCCTTTGCGCCAAACAATATAGGGTTAATCTTCTGATCATTCCCCATGGCCAGCCAAGGTATTAATTCCTCATTAGAGGAGATTTGTCACTGCATCACTCAAAACAGGAGGAACTGCACCAAACGATGACCTTGAAATGCACAAGCAAGACTTAGAATTGAGGAATTCAGCCAAAAGCTCTCATCAACAAAATGAGAGGCAAGTGTATAATGGCCATGGATGTGGAGGCCACGACAGAGCAGAAGATAGGAGGGGATGAGAGGGCATATGGTATGGAGGAGCATAGCAGTAAACAACAAAGCCAATAAAAGGTGCCATATGTCAGCCATCCACCTTGGGCATTAAATCGGGGTCTCCTAAGAAATGTGTCAGGGGGAGGGGAGATTACAGCAAAGCTGCTTATGAGCCTAATTAAAGCCTGATGAAAAACAGATAATACAACATAGTAAGCAAAACAATGGGCATTTTCAAAACAATCTGCACTGCATATGGTTATGGGTATGCTGCACTGTAAACATGTCACTATTGTGCAACAGCAAGCAAAGATAGAGGAAACTCCATATGGCTCAAACATATGACCCTGTTAACTTTGTATAACAAGTGTGTAAGAGGTTGACTTTCCACATGCGTGAGGTGGTCATCACTGTAACTGGCTGTTAAGCCGGTAGAGATGAACCCCTCCTGTTCCCTTGTTATTGCACTTGACCACGCTTAGAGTTAGGAGCCAGACTTTGAATGAGTTTTTTAAGGCTGATGCATTTGAAATATTTGGGTTATAGTTTTTTGTTTGGTCCCAATTTACAAATCTGTGCATTTACACTGTGTCTTCATCACGTCACGACTTTTAACTGTTTTCATGCCAATGTATAAATCCCAAATTGCTGATACATTTGCAGGGTGTTTCAGAATTACATTTGTAAATGTGTTTCTTTTGAAGGGTTAGGTGAAAACCCCTTTAAAACAACATTAATATCACAGATTACTGTGGGAATAATGTGAGTGCTGACATTTTTGAAGAAGTGAATAAGTTGTTTGAAATGAAGAGAACACATCATTCAGACATAACACAGCTGTATCCAACAGCGTAGGTTTCATTTCAACATTGTGGGGACACATATTAAGTGGGAGTCTGGGGGAAACATTTGAGCATTTAACACTTCCTTTCCTGGATTCTCGTGAATTTTTCTGTACCAATTTCTGCCTTTTCTGCATCATGATATTTTGAAAAAAAGTCATAGGCTAGTAGTATGAGAATAAAGTTGTGATTTAATAAGAATAAAGTCATAATATTTAAACAGTCTGACTGACGCAGACCCTGTTTGGGACTGTACTGAATGAGACAAGTGCACTGCTCTTCACCGGAGGTAGAAAACTGAAACTAAGTGAAAACTTCTGATCAGGCATAAATCTCACTGCAGATCCATACAAATGTTTACTTCATCAACTCCAGTAAAGTGCATTTTACGCTGCAGTCCAAACTTTCACAGTCTAAGTAAATGTAGACTGCCAGGAAATACTAAAACATGCACATCTTACTCGAAGCGACCTATATTTTGTTTTTTGTTATAGTTTTTTTTTTTTACTTCACTACATACACTGCCTACATAACATATAAAGAACATGGCTCAGGACAAATACAGCCATTTTGTGGCCAACTGACTCCCAACAAAAGTCAGCTACAAAAATACTTTGGACAGCAACTTGAGCGTGGAGCAACATGTAAAGAAAGTAGTCCAGTTGTTTTTTTATTAACTGAGGAATGTTTCAAAAATTAGATCACTTCTGTCCTTCAGTAACAAAGGGTGAATGAGCCCTTGCAGTATTGGCTCCTCAGCTCGGGGATGGCCTTCCACTGAGCATCAGATCAGCTGACTATTTTGGTGCCTTAAATCTCGTCTAAAAACGTACTTTTATAGAAAGGCTTTAACTAACAGCTGACAGACTTCACTTATGTGGTCATGAGCTGTTGGTCTTTTATTTTGTTTACTGATTGTTTTTATCTTTCATGTGTGTCTGTGGGGGGCGGCACGGTGGTACAGTGGTTAACACTGTCGCCTCACAGTCGTGGGTTCAAACCCCGGTTGCCCTGGCCTTTCTGTGTGGAGTTTGCATGTTCTCCCCGTGTCTGCGTGGGTTCTCTCCGGGTGCTCCGGCTTCCTACCACCGTCCAAAGACATGCGGACTAGGTTGATTGGTGACCCTAAATTGTCCTTAGGTGTGAGTGTGAGTGGTTGTTTGTCTATGTGTGGCCCTGCGATGGACTGGTGACCTGTCCAGGGTGGACCCCGCCTTTCGCCCGATGTCAGCTGGGATTGGCTCCAGCCCCCCGCGACCCTGTATGCAGGATAAGCAGTTGATGATGGATAGATGGATGGATGGTGTGTCTGTGGGGGTTTTCCCCGGGTTCCTCCCACTGTCCAGCCCTAGCGGGGTGGTAAGTCTCCAGCCTCCAGCTGGCTTCTGTCCAAAGACATGCAGGCCATGTTATTTGGTGACTCAATGCAGTTGACGATGAGTGAGTGTGTCTATGTATTTGTAAACATGTAGTATGTATATGCATGTTTCATTATTATGTGACTTATGCTTCTATTTTTCTGAACTTTGAAAGCGCTTATTGCTTGAAACATGCTCTATAAAATGATAATAAAATTTAATTTAATGCCAAATTGGAATTCAGACAATCGAGTTTGATCTAAGATGTCATTATTGACTATTTGCAATACAATTCCAAAGTTATAATCTTTGAGTCTGCCACTAATCTTCTTTCTAAGTCACTGCTAGTAATACCAGATCATACTATGACATACTAGTGTTGAGTCTAATTAAATTGTCTTTGAATTAGTTCAAGTTCAAGTCTTCCTATAGGCAAGAATTCTAATGTGATATTATTAAACACAGTGGTGGATGAGAGTGACTAGCTGATATGCAAACAAAAACAACAATATGGGTTCTATGTATCTGTCCGGTAATGCTCAGGCCTGGCCCACCTGAAGCCTTGAACCTGCAGCACTTCCTGTGAGTTTGTTCTAGCAGCTCTTGCCGCTAGTGGGCATCCACAGGCCAGCACACGGAGCAGGGAAGGGACTGCAGCACTGCATTCCTCTTGTCAAACACTGACAGGAGCCAGCTGGAGGCTGGAGGCTTACCACTCTGCTAGGGCTGGGTTGTAGACAGGAGAGAAGCAGGGGGTGTGAGGGAGGGAAGGAAAGGATTCAGTGAGGGATGGTGGAGGGAAAAAGAGAGGGAGGAGAAGAAAAGGTGGGAAGGGCTGGCTAGTAATCAGTCCGGGCTGGTACAGAGTGGAGGAGTGGAGGCACTTCTGCTTTGTAAGCTAAAGAGAGAGAGAGAGAGAGAGAGAGAGAGAGAGAACCTGGTTGTGTTACTTCTGTCATCCAGCGGTGTGTTGGCTCGGTGGATCATGGGGGGAAGCAGGTTGATGCTGCTGCTGCTGTGGTGCTGCTGTGGGCACTGGTGGCTGACAGGTACAGTATGGTACAATACTTTAATGCTACATTAACAAAGATGAAAGTTGCAAGCTTGTGTATAAGGGTGGAGTCTTGGCACAGAGAGGACAAACAGCTTTAGGCTTCCTTGGGTGTAGAGTATACTAAAGGACTATGTTAATGCAAGTTGACTGCTGCTGTCAGGGCTTACTGCTGAATTTGGTTTGATGAGGCAGCTCTGACTACTGAATCCAGGCAGATTGACTGTAATTCTGGCACAGGGTGTGTGTATGTGTGCGGCACAAGTATGTCTGACGAGCATACAGTGCAATATTTTAATGTCTATCTGATACAGTGAGTATGGCAGACACTGGTTTAATTGTGCTAAGGAAATATATGCAAATGTAATTATTATTATTATTATTATTATTATTATTATTATTGACTATTTCCTCCAATCATTTCCTCATCTGCAAAAGACACAGATGCCTCAACCAAACCTGCCTGTTCATCTGTATGGGAACATGCTTAACTGTGTATCTAAGTCATTTACTGCCTTTTGACTTCCTAGGCCCCCAGTACAGTCCCATTGTTGTTTAATTAATTAACCAGATTTATGTGATTAAGTTATTAGATTAAATATGACTTACATTGTAATCCATGTGAAGAATGTGTTTTGGCTGCTAAAGAGAAGTTAAATCAGTGTGTAGTACACTAAACGTGAGTATCTCTCCTTGCAGGCATACACTGTGAGGTGGATATCAACGAGTGTGACAGCAATCCCTGCCAGAATGGCGCCACGTGCGAAAATGCTGCCAACTCCTATAGGTGTCACTGCCCTGTGCCAGAGCCTGGCCAGGAGCCATGGGGCGGGCGAGACTGTGATGTCCTTCTGGTCGGCTGCCAACAGCACCAGTGTCAACACGAAGCAGAGTGCATCCCTGTGCTGACTGATGATGGAGAGCACAGCTACACCTGCCTGTGTCTGCCTGGCTGGACTGGAGAACACTGCAACACCTCCACCACCTTCTCCTTCAACTCCGAGGGCTACATCCACATGCAGCTGCCCATTTCCAAAAACAGGACCAAACGTGAAACTAAAGACCATAACCATGGGCTCCACATGCAGCTCCGATTCAAGAGCACTCTGCCAGACATGGTGTTGTACTACCGGGGCACTATGGAGCGCTTCATCTCACTGGAGCTTGTTGGAGGCTGCCTTCAGGCTAGGGTGAAGTCAGGGAAAGTACTGCAGGTAATTTACTCTGGACCGGTCAATGACGGGCAATGGCACCAGGTCACCGTGACCATGGATGAGAGGCTGGTTCTGGTTGTAAAAGGACCTGGCTGTGAGGACGAGTGCCAGGTGAAGAACGAGGGCTACAACTATTTGATCTTCCTCCAACCCAGCTCCTTGCAACAACTGTATGTTGGAGGGGCACCGCAGGAATATTTAGCCCATACGTCCAGCAGAAGGGGATTCATTGGCTGCATGGAAGACCTTCAAGTTGACCATAAGCTGCTTCTACCTCAGGATCTCATCAGAGAGGAGAACCAGGGTTTGGAAATGGGATGCGGCAAAAAAGACTGGTGTCAGGAAAATCCATGCATGCAACGTGGTCAGTGTGTGGACATGTGGGTTCGTGCCAGCTGTCTGTGTAATCGGCCATACTATGGTGAAAGCTGTGAGAAAGGTAAGAGTACTTACAACATGACTTGTAGGATTTCTTTTTGTGTAATAATCAAAGCTTCTCAAAGTGAGGGTCTCTAAAACTATTAACTGTTGTTATTCTTCTGTTGTTATTCTTCTGTTGGTGGAATTCTTACGCTAAAGCCATACTTAAGACAATCACACATTTGTATCCCACTCAAAGCACAAACTCAAAGCTGTTTTTGGTGAGTGTGTGACAAATCTAAATGTATGAACAATATCTAAACTCCCTCCTAATGAGCACTTCCTCTACCACCAAATTTGTCAGTTTGGTAAAAAATAAAAAAACCCCCATATAAATAGCCCATGTAAATGTAAATGTGAGAATGCAAAAACTATGCCTTCTAGTCTCAATAGTGTTTACATCTCTGTGTTGTCTTGTCATTCTCAAATCAGCTCTTGCAAATAAAGAGGCAAGGCAAGTTTATTTATATAGTTTCTTTCAACAGTAAGGCAATTCAAAGTGCTTTAAGACATAGCGTATGTCTTAAAAAAAGCTTTTCCAGAGTTCCACAGGCTAAGTAGTACCCGCTGACTGAAACTGATCATTCATTTAAAGAAAACTAAAAAAAGGCATAGGCATAGCATAATACTAGTGTGTTGAAGATTCAAGTTATAAGGTTACTTTCTATTGCTCCTCTGTAAAGCTAAGAAGAACTTGCCACGAGAATTTCGCTTTCTTAACAGACACCTATTCTGCTTTTCCTTATTTTCTCTGAAAAACAATGTTGTATGTTCATATTAAATGTGGCCAAAGTTTCAAATAATGAGGTAAACGTACAGAATGTAAAAAAGAATGTGATGACACACAATGTCACAGTCCCCGCGAGCAAAAAGCAGGTGTGGAAGAAGAAGTGTGGAGATATGTCTAGCTATGCTAGACTACTCTGCTCAGCACTACTCTTTAAGTTAAGTTTTTGGAGGTTGTTCAGTGGGGAAAGTTCTTTTTCAGTTGTGAAGGAAAGTCAGTTCCTTGATGGACAGATTTATTTGCCAAAGTTACCGCTAATGTTTACTAACCATAACTACCGTTAGCTCAGTTAGCTGTGCAGCACGGCAATCAAATTAGCTAGCTAACTGGGAGCTTGTAGCAACACTCACTTGGGGCTCTGAGCTCCCAGTAGGGGCAGTTAGCTGAGCTAAAAGGACCACTAGCTGCACAACGAACTGTGATAACTAGCCAGTGACAGCTACAATAGTACTTTAATTTAAAATTATCTGTGAAAGTTTTCTCTCCATACAATATGATCAGTGAATAATGTTATAAAAGTTGTGTGTTTTTGTACAAAAATCAGTGAGGCCTGGCCAGAAACACACAGCTGGTCTGATAAACAGTACATTCTTCCAATTTAGTGCTCCATGTCGCAGTTTTCCAAGCTAAGTTACACTATGCCATTGCTGTCAAGCTGTAGGATCACATGCTGTGTTCCAGTTGTACTGGGAAGTCAAAATTTCCAAGTTCTCAGTTGGAAATTTTAACTGGAACGGGCCCTTAAGTTGGATTTCCAACTCGAAAAGTCGGGAGAGCTGCTCTACCCCCGACTTTGTGATCCCAGATGGCTGCTTCATGTATCAACAGTGAAAGCTGTAGTTTATACTGTTTATTAGCATTTCTGTGTATTTGTGTCCCATATAAATTTTTTTCATTCAACTTTGGTGTCATTCCCAGCTCCAACTTCTGATTTCCAAAGTAAATGGAATGCCAACAGCCAACAGCATTGGGTGTATAAAGAAACAGCAGCTCACAAGCACTGGGGAAGCTTCCATGAAGTAGACCCATTGGGACAAAGTGGGCTTGAAGGGCCAGTATAAGGGCCAAGATCCATAAGGATTTATCTCTGAATCATGCAAAGCTACTCTATGGAGTCCCAGAATCAAAACATTGAGCTGGAAATGACCATAATAGGTCCTCTTTAAGAAATACAGTTGGTTCTGAGCTTTCTTTACTAGGGTGGAGATGTGTAATGAGCTTACAGCACTAGAGAGGAGGAGGTTTAACCTCCAGTAAAAGACAGTTCTCTGTTTGTGATACTGATAACTTTGTGCTTCTCACACCCACCACAGAGTATCCGTCCTGGACCTTCGGTCATGAGAACACCATCAGCTATGCTGTCTTCAACATCTCGGAAAACCATGGAGACAACTTCACCATCTCCTTTTTAATGCGATCCCTCAAACACAACGGCCTGCTCCTACAGCTCCGTCGAGAAGGAAATCCCTACCTGACAATCTATCTGAAGGAGGGAACTGTTGCTATCTACAGCCCTCACACCACACTGCTGTCTGAGGCTACGTTTGTCACTGATGGCAACAATAATTTGGTGACTGTAGAGGTACACTATGGCCATGTAGTCTTCCCCAAAGCAGGGAATCATCGCGCCTTAGGGAATGTGAGTGTAGAGGCAGGGGATGTGGCATATGTCGGAGGACTCCCAGCAGGCAAGAGCATAAACGCCTGGGGAGGAATCTTCAAGGGCTGCCTGCAGGACATTCGGCTGGACCACAAGCATCTGGCCACTGAGGATCATGAAGAGGATGTGGAATTTTACCAGGCAAGCACAGAGGAGAACATACTGCCAGGATGCCAAAGTGATGACACATGCAAGGTAAAAGAATATATAGTCTGCTGTATGATCATCACTTAAACTACAGCGTGGACAAAATGTACGATCATGGGAAATGTGCTGAACTGATATTAGGTTAAAAAATCTAATATCAGACTGACACATATGAATGATCTTTTTGTAGTTTAGAGCAGTTAAGATTATTTTTACAGAAAAAATATTGCATAAGTTCCTATAGTAATCCAATAAAATTTAGGTCAGGTGTCTTTTGAACCCAGTAAGCTAGAACACTACATATTTTCACTACTGCTACTACTATTTCTACTACTGCTCAGCCATCCACCTCAGTGTTTTCTACTTCTATTCAGCACATTTTTCTGCTACTACTGCTTCTGCTACTACTACTGATCCTACAAGCACTACAACAATAACTATAACTTCTTAGGGATTTGGTCCTTTACTGTATCCTGTCATGAACAATGTCGTGAACATGTGTTAGAGGAGTGGAAGATTTGAGCTGTTGGTGGCGCCATATGTAAAGTCAGAGGATCACCAACATCATTAGAATTCATTCTATGGAGTCTGTGCCAAATGGAATAACAGCCCATCAAATACTTTTTGAGAACTTTTAATTTGGACCAAAGTTGTGGACAGAAACACTGACTAACCAACATTGCCATCTCTAGAGTCAAGATAGCATGCTACATTACGTAATTAAGCAGAATGCATGACGTCCAACATATCAGAGACTGACAAATATGTCTGACAATTCAGTTTTACTGAAATGTCCCAAAGAAATGCGATTATTATCTGCGAGTGTTTGGCTCTAAACACTGAACCCATGCTAATGGTTTTAGCGCCTTGCAGTGCTGTGTGATAGCTGGGCTGTACTGTTTGGCCTCAACTCTATTAACACTGATCTGGTTGTGAATCCTCTCGATCTGTAAGTTACAGCTGAGTCCTCTCTGCAGCTTTTACATTAGCAGTCGCATCAGGTGAGAGACTTTACAAGTGATCTTCTAATCCATCCATCTGTGTTTGTCTGTGCATAGGATGAGCCCTGTTTCAATGGCGGACACTGTCAGGTCACCTGGAATGACTTCAAGTGCAACTGTTCCATTAACTACTCAGGCCGACTGTGTGAGACACGCTTGTGGTGCGTCGACAACCCTTGTCTTGAAGCAGTGCGCTGTGCGGACCTACAGGATGGTTATGAGTGTGAGTAATTGATTGGCAGTGATTATCACCCTCTTAATTTCTTAATTAGACTTACAGTCTTGTAAAGAACCATTTAACATCAGATGGTAAGGGAAACCTGCTAACCTTAGGCCCTCACTGACATCAAAGGAAAAACTCCCTAACATAGTAAAAGAGAGGGAAGCAAATCTGTGACCTTAAGAATCTGACTGCAAGATGTCTATGAAGATTCTCAGTCATCCAGGTCATAGTTATCCAACGAAGGTTAAAATCAAGGGCAACTGGACATTTGTTGAAACTCAACAAATCCTGACCTATTGGCCTCAGGTGAAGATACCAACGATGGTCGTTCAGTCTTGGCCACAGGTAGTCTTAACGACTGTAACAACTGTCGTCACAGCAACAAGGAACACTAACGAACCAGCGGTATCGATGACCCGGGCCAACGACCCCACGGAGGTTAAATAGCTGAGTTTCCCTGCCAGTCAGTCAGAACTGAAGAAGTCCTTTTGGATGAGGGACGAAACGTCTTCCAGTATCTTCAACCAAGTCCAGTTGCCCTTGATTTTAACCTTTGTTGGATAATCTGACTGCAAGATGGTCTGAGAAGAAAGATTACCCAACAACATACAGAAATACAGAAACAACAAATATATGGTTGATGCTTTTTTCAAGGAGCAGTAACAGGGAGCAACAGAGACTCATGGGAAATGTGACACTGAAAACACAAAGCATATAGAGAAGCTACCAATCATGTTTACTATTTGTTAATCAAGGCATAAGGTATTAATAGGCCTACTTGCAGCGAGGCATTGTTCCTTCTCAATTGAGTGTGGCAATCCAGATATGGGTTTACTATGAATATTCTGCTGACATTGTTTATGCATAACTAATGAATTACCAGCTGTGAATGCCAACTGGTAAACAAATCTGTAGTATTTTAAGAATCTCTGAATCGGAGCTGCAGTAATAAGCTGCAGTAAAAGTGAGTGGATACACTTCTCTGCAATTCAAGCTGTCCCTTTAAAATTATCATACTGATACCATATGAGAAAACTAAAGTAAATGGTGAGTAGCTACAACAGTGGCTTCAAGTTGATTTGCTGGATTTTAATACTTTAAGAATGCACGAGAGCTCTACTGTTTATTGTGAAGATGAAACTTTCATGTTATCATCTGGTTGCTGCTGTTTACTTTCACCCCAGATGCAAATTCAAAAAATCCACTGTGGAATGTTTGGGGTGTATATGAGTAGCCTATGTAAATAACTGTATATACTGTTTTATTTTATTTTATAAATGTTACCATATTTTAATATAGCCCTACACTTAAGATGTTGTGTGTGTAGCATGAAGGAACTACACAAATCTACTACAACAATTTGTTATGCAACCTTGTGCTGTATAATGACTAATAAACTATCTAGTACCTTGTACCTTGTACTGTACCATTCCAGCAACAACAGTTAAACATATCTGAACCTTATACTGAGGACTAGTTAAGATACTAAAAAAAAGTTTTGCTTTCAGGGACAGCAGACCAGTTTGTGGTTTTTCAATCAATACACGGATCAAGTAACAATAATTTAATTAAATTTCATTTATATTGCGCCAATTCATAACTGAAGTTATCTCATTGCACTTTTCATATAGAGCAGGGAGAATGAGAACACACAGTAACTAACACAATGCAAGTTCCACATAGTGATGTAAAATAAAATTACAGTAACGGTAGTGATAATAATACAAATATCAAAAAGATATTAATAGTTACAATAACAATTATAGCAGCAATAATGATAATGATAAAAAAATAACAATAATAACAGCTTTGGCAGCGGGTGATGAGCAGTGCAGTGGGTGGGTGCAGTAGGTGACTTGCAATTATAGATCCACACTCTACAGCTTTGACAGAAGTAGAGAGGAGAGAGACAAGAAAGCACAAAACTATGGGAGAGGGAAGATTTTGTGCTAGTAACATGCATTAATGGGAAAACACACTATGTTTTGAATCATGTAAGCATGTAACTTGATTTCAGTAAATCTTCAAACTGCTCACATGATCTTCTCCTCCCACAGGTTTAACTGAAGCCATTTTTCAGGACAATGCTCTCCAGTATGTTGCCAACAGCTCCCTGCTGAACCCTGTAACCAACATCACCATGAATATACGGACGAGGGACACAAACGGGATCTTGTTACGGGCCGCCAGCAGAGCAGAGATCTTCTGCCTGGGTCTGCTCAACTCCTCCCTGCTGGTCAAACTGGATAGCGGGGCGAACTCAGAGCTGCTGGCCTTCACAAGTGAAAGGGTCATTGCGGACGGAGCATGGCATCAAATCCAGCTGACCATGCTCGATCCCACGCAGTTAACGTCCCGCTGGTGCCTCACTGTGGATGGGCAGAGAGTTGGTGGCAGCTTTGGCGTTGGCGGCAACCTCAACTTCCTTAATGACACCAAGATCTGGTTGGCGGAGAAATACACAGGATGTTTAGGGGAGGTGAGAGTGGGTGGAGTCTACCTGCCACTCATAAATGTACCAGACCCCCCTCAGATGAGCCGGTTCTCCAGACTGGGAGGGCACGAGCCAATCATAGGATGCCAAGGTGTACCGATTTGCGAGTCCCAGCCCTGCCTCAACCAGGGTGTATGTCAGGACCAGTTTAATGAGTTTAACTGCAGCTGCAGCGCAGGATGGGAGGGGGAACTGTGTGAGACTGAGATAAATGAGTGTTCTTCAGGTCCCTGTGTCTATGGTACATGTAAAGACCTTCTGGCAGACTACCAGTGTGACTGCGAGCCTGGGTACGCAGGGAAAGACTGTCAGGACGAGGTTGATAACTGTCAGGAGTTCACCTGTGTGAATGGAGGAACCTGCGTGGAAACAGTGGGAGCTCACACATGTTCATGTCATCCTGGCTACGTCGGCAAGCGCTGCCAGTGAGTACAGACTTTTCTGTTTCTCTACAGTTTCAGCTGTTGCTCATATTCATGACATGATTAAGCTGCAGTGTAATAACAGGTAGGCTGAAAACACCTTTTTTAACACAGGGTTGTACAATGATGAAAATCTGACAATTTCAAACCTGCCTGCAGGTTGTGGGGGTCATAGGTTTAAGCTGATCTAGCAATGTGGCCTCACACATGGTGGGGCACTCCTGCTTGTATTGCCTGTGACGGTCTGGATTGCTCGTCACATATCTTTGGTGTTATTGGTGTTGAGGTCTCTCTCCAGTCTCTCCTGATGTCAGAACACAGTCACCCTTCAAGTGTAATAGCTCAATCCGGGATGTTGTGGTGCAGCCAGGTCTCAGTAAAGATGAGGGCACAACTGTCTCTGATTTTTTGTTGCTGAGTTAGCCTGAGTCTATGACATTAGCCCGGAGTAGACTAGGAAGTGGTATAGCCTTAGGTCCAAGCTGGGTTATCTTAGCTCTTCCCTCTCTTCCATGGAGCGATCGTGCCACGTGCTATGATGTTTCACCCGGCTGGTCTGGCTAAGTGGTGGAAGATGCTGTGGGCAGTTATCATCTCAAGGCACTTAATCCAATCCCTGTGTACCATGTTAAATTTGGTAAAGTTGTTTTATTGCTAAAAAAATATAGATTAAACTACATTAATCATAACAATGCCATATCAGCATGCAGCCAAACAATATACGTTTATGCAAAAGTTGTTATAAAATTAGACTAGTTGGTTGATTGTGCAATGAAACGGTTATGACTGGTGGGACAGTTGAGCACTTGATTTGATGTTGCACAAGCCACTATTAGTGTCAAATACACAACTCTCAAGTTCAAATAACTGTGATATGATTGTGGGATTAATTGTGAAGCTTTTAATTTCACCTCAACTGCTTTCTGGTCATAATTTAAGGTCACCTAATTGTATGACAACAAAATGATTAGAGTGAAATGAGTATGTTTGTGTGTGAAATAGGTGGCGTTTCCCTCCCGTGGCATGCGATGCAAACATAGAGTGTCTTAATGGCGGGGTTTGTATTGGAGGTGACTTCGGAGGCAACTGCACCTGCAAGCCAGGATACACTGGTGCCAGGTGAGAGCAGCACACTGCACATTCCTCAGCACACACCTGCTGCTCATGAGAAAGTGTGTCTAAACCATATACAAGTGTAAAGGTCAGGAGAGTGTGTGTGTGTGTGTATGTGAGCTACTTCTCTGTCACTCAGCATTCTGTTAAAACCCTGCTGATGTGTTTCAGGTGTGAGACAGAAATAGATGAGTGTGAATCCAGCCCTTGTCTCAACGGTGCCACCTGTCTGGACAGACTCAACCACTTCCAGTGTGTGTGTGTGCCGGGTTTCAGCGGCACACTCTGTGAGAGCAATGTAAGTGACGGACAGATCCTTTCACTGACACTGGCTTTGAGTTCATTCACTTTCACAGCACACGTGCTCAATTAGAACCTGAATATGAGTGATGGGATTCAGGTTCCTGTTAGCTGCCACAAAAGCCATGATCTAGAAATGTGAATTATAGTAATTAAGGTTTCCCTGACAACAGCAATAAACAATCAGATAAAACAGCGTACCACTTTCTGATAAGGTGCCCTTTATAACAGGTGTATAAGATATAGCTAATGGCTTTATCAACGTTAAGAAATATTTACAGATGACTTATAGAGCTGTTATTAGACAAACATAAAAATAACTTTTGGGTTGCCATGTTGAGTAAAAATACCTTTGGTTGGTGTTTATTGATCCTGATTTTCAATCAGATAAAGGGGTCCTAACTTATGGAACTCCTTTTCCCATTTGGTTTTTACTTAAATATAACTCGGCTTTTAGCTCTTAAGTTTCACTGCCAGCACCTCTCCAATGAAGTTTGTCTCTGACGCTTTTGAAAAAGTGATCGATTATTGTAAAAACAATGTATTAACAACTTTTATAACTGACTTATTACAAAAGGAGTTAAAATGTTAATATGTTGTTAATTAATGGATTGTTGGAGAATAAACACTACTCAAAAGGATTTCTACAACCTAAGTGTTGCTAATAACATATCTATAAAACATATGCCATATTAAAAAGTGGTACCAACACAGGAATGGTCATTTATACATACACTCTTTCTATCCTCTTGCAGAAAGAGGAGCATAAGGAGCGAGTTCCCTGGCTGGCAGTGACCATCCCCCTAACCACACTGTGCGTGTTACTGGCCATACTGGTGGTGTTTTTCCTTATCATGACAGCACGGAAGAAACGTCAGTCAGAGGGCATGTACAGCCCTAGCTCACAGGAGGTGGCTGGTGCCAGGCTTGAGATGGGCAGTGTCCTCAAAGTGCCCCCAGAGGAGAGGCTGATCTGAGGCCTGCAGCCATGCCTCACAGCCTTACTTCCAGTGGATCTATCTATGTACAGGGTGATGAGAACATAGTCTCTGCAGTGTCACACTGCTGGGTCCTCCTGCCCTACAAGAAACTGATGGAGGATAATTCAAAGACTGATCCTCCAACTGGACAAAACTATTGAGGGTGAAGCCTCAGAGGTGTACAGCTAAAGACCAGAGGCGGAGAAAGACTCCTGAGTCTCCTGACAACTCAGGCTGTCCCGATGGGGAGAGTGTGGCCAAAGGATGCACTGACCCTGGACATCCCATTTAAGAGTTAGGTCTTGAGGACAATCTCAAGCTTAACTCGCACGGGACCAAAAGTCATATGAGGACCACCTGTACTAAAGAAAAGTCCAAAAATCTGTGGATATTAAGAAATGTATTCACACAGGCTGAAAATCATTGAAACTGAAATTCTCTGATGCACTCTAAACGGTCATGTAAGGGCAAGTAATTCCTCATTTATGGTTTAGCAAAGCAAAACATTCAAAACCTCCTTTTGCACATCGCACTGCTGATCTTGTTTTGCATGACAGTGGAAAGAGGAATGTGTAGGAGAATATACATTTGAAACAAATTATTTCTAATTAGAGTTGTATTTGAATAAGTATACCTTCACCAACATACTTCTTGTAGTAGTATTACATTACAAGAGGGTGTCTGTGAAGAGACTTTTTTGGAGACAGACACTAATTTATATCTTGGCTTTATCTTGTTAGCGGTCCCTTGGTAACGCTAATCCTGCATGACCACAGCTCTTCTGCCATAATGGGTTTTGCCACCTGATTTCTCCTTTTTTTCTCTCTTTGTGATTATAATTTTTTTTGTCTGTCAAAAAAATGCAAGCAGCCGTTACAAAATCAGTTGAAGTTATGTTTGATTCAAACCTCATGTTCTACTTTGCTGAATCAGAAAGTTAATTAGTGACTCTGAAGTGACCCTGTGAATGTGAGTATGAATGGCTGTTTTTTCTCTATGTGTAGTGTGATGAACTGGTGACCTGCCTCCCTGCTGCTCCTTGCAACCCTTCAAAGTATAAGAGGTTATACATAATGGATGAATGGATGGCACCAATGACAATTACTTTCTAGATTTCAAAGTTTACTTTGACTTTATTTCATTTGACCTTGTGCAACTTCCCCAATATTGTGCACATGTGGCACAGATTAGATTAACTATATGGCCAAAAGTACTGTATGTCACTTTTGGGTGTATTACATCATTTGGTCTAAGCCCCATTAGTTTCCAATGAAGTCTTAATTTCACAGCATACAATGACATTTTAGACATTGTGCTTCCACCTTTGTGTCAGTTTGTGTTTTTCCCCCTTCCTGTGGGGGGAAATGGTTTTCAATTTGCAGAGAGCCCTGACCTTAACCCCATCCAATACCTGTGGGATGAGCTGGAATGCTGACTGTGGGCAAGACCTTATCACTCAACATCATTGGTCACCTCACTAATGCTCTTGCTGAATGGGAGATAATCCCTGGATCCAGGTTGAAACATCTGGAGGAAAGACTGAAAGCAGAAGAGTGGAGGCTGTTATAGCAGCACATTAATGTCCATGGTTTTGGAATGAGATATTTGGCAGTTAGATATAATGTTCAGGTGTCCACATATGCCTGACATGTGTATTAGTGAAGCATAAAGGGGCCAGATCTGCTTGAGGTCAGCCCCCCCTAAGAACATATAAGAAGCCCTCCAGCATCAGATCTGCGCTCCAAGTCTTCCAAGGTCTTCAGAAACAGCCCTGTGAAAAACCTACCCAAATCTGAAGTACATGCATACATTTTTGAAAAAGAGACACCCGGTCCCACGTGCACTGATTTCCTCAAATATTTTTTTCAGTGGTGATTGTGAGTAGAGCTGATAGTACCCTCAGATTCATTCAGATCCACTTCAATATTAGACATGGACACTGGCCCGAGACCAGCAGCAGCAAAATTAGAACCCTCCCCAGCCCGAGTATAATTTGGACCTGGTCTGACACCGACAGAAACATCACTGTAGAATTGCTCAAATATTCAAATGTTATTATTACAAGCTTTACGGTATTGTACAGTCAAACAGTGTTATACAGTGCTGTGACTTAATAACAGAACATATACAGGGGAGATAAGTTCCCCAGCTATGTACCGGTCTCGGTTCCTCCGGGCTTAGTGGACCTGTGAAGGCCTCTTCTCTACATCGACTCACCCCAGAGTTCATATATTATATGTGGATTGACTGATTGATTGCAGATAGCTATATGACTATAGTTTAGTCGTATGAGTTATGTCTATGTTTTGAAGTGACAATAGAAATAATGGTTATACAGGATATTCAAACCTGACCTCCCAGCACACTGCTGCTTCTCTCACTGAGTACGAGGTTGTTGTTGTTCCTACCGGCAACCTATGATGTTTAATTAAATCACTTAATGTTCCTATAAAAACAGCTGCAGGGAATGTAATGTACGTGCATAATGAGATGATAGTATGTGCCTTTATGTTCTCCTGCATCCATGAAACACAAGAATCCTGTGGTCTGTTTTTATATTCTGTGTTGAGACAGATTAAAGCCTTTGTGTAGACTGTACTTCAAATGATTCAAAGAAGAGTTCACTGACAGAAACATCGCTGTGAGCAGTGCTCACATATTCAAATGTTGTTAAAAGCATTATGATATTGTACAGACAAACAATGTTAGACAGTGCGGTGACTTAACAGAACATATACAGGGCAGATAGATATCCCAGCTATGTACAGAATGGTAGTGATTTTTACACTGGAGCTGTCTTTACTAAAGCTGTACCATGTACAGCACAGAGATCAGTACATAACGAGTTCTATTCCAAAATATTTTATATTCACTTTAGGAAATAACAATCATTAACTAGAGTTGTTAAAAGACAGGATTCAGTTTGTGAGTGATACTAACGGATCAACCCAGGATTATTACTGTAATTCACCTACTAGCACTCATCTAAACATCATTTAATATTTGCTGTTTCTGGGTTGCCTGTGGTTTTTCAGTAGTTCCCCTGTTTTCTAAAAGGGAATATCTCATTTTGGAATAAAACTTATTCATTTGTACTCAGAACACTTTTCTGTGTGGGGGATTTTATGGTTTGTCTGTAAAGAAAGATGTATACTTCCAATCCAAATGGATAGTTACACTGTAATTGTGTGTATATAGTAGGAAATGCCACTTTAATTGGATTCAAAGTCGGTGTGTATATGTCTTAAAAAGTGTTCAAGGAAAATAAAACACAAAGGAAATGAATAACCCTGGAAAAATGTTTTTTTTATTTTGGAAAAAACATGCCAGCATTAATGCTCTTTGGTGACAATATATACAAAAACTCTTTGAATCACCAAAGACTGCCAACTACGCATCTGGTTTTATCTCTCATGTATCCTAGAAAATCACATAATGTTGATATATATAGTCCCTCATTCCAAAATTTCATGTGGTAGTCAGCACTCAAGTCAGACATGCATGCATCTCCAAGATGTTTACCTCAGAAGAAAAGGCATTAAAGCAATAAAGATTTTTTTAATTGGTAATTTGGTTAAAATAAGCAAATTTGTCATTTATGTAAAGGTCAGATATGCAACAGTCCCTGAAGACAAGGAAACCTCCATCCATCAAGGACGAAAGGAGTGAAGGGTATTGTTGAACATATTTGTTCAAAATAAAATATATTTCTTTGCTAATAAAAATAAATAAAGAAAGGAAATATACCAGCAACAATTGCTCTCAAAATAGTAACAACAAACAAGCCAGAACTAATGAACAAAAATGTTATCTGCCTTCAAAGAAATAATAAAACATTGCTTATTTGTACTGTTGAACAGCCTCCACATCCCCCCTCCTTTTTAAAAACATCACTTTTCACTGCTCCCCCTCCCTGTCTCTGCCGCCTCTCCCCTCTCTTTGAAGCTGTAACGGTGCATTCCTTTGTTTCTCTGAGTGACTCCCATCCAGGCTGGCTTCTGGCTGATAGCTTGGTCAGTGCTTCTCCTCCCTAATGATGGCAAGTGAAGCAGGACAAGCATCCTCCTCCTCCCTGATCCCAGTGTGAGGGAGGAGGAGCCAGGAATGCTGCCATGAGACCTTGAGATCATTCTGCTACTCGAAAGCAAGCTAGAATAGGCAGAGGAAGTGTTTTCAAAAACTAAAGAAACACATACCTAATGAGTCAGACTCAATGGAAATGTTCTGCTTTCACTGAAATATCTATATTTGGAAACTCTAAAATGATGTAACAAACCGACAACAAATTCTACTGTCATGAAATTCCCAACCTTGGCAGTGTTTGTTGGAAAGACAGACATTGCTGAATAATTTAACTTATTTACTTATGTAACTTTTCAGTGTTGTGAGCTCCACAAACTAAATCCCATTAATTTCCATTGTGTTGAGGTGCAGGCAGAAATCTCAGAAAGACGTGGAATGTGTACAAACAAAAACAAATATCTGCATGGCTAAATACCACTGGGGGTAAGTAAAAATTTGTTATTTGGGTGAATACACCCTTTAACCATACTGTGTGGCAGAGCTTTTCAACCTCTCTGGGCCAATGAGCGTCAAAGTCTGGCAACTTTGTTGCCAAGCTTTAAAGCTGCAATAAATTTTTTAACCAAAACTCCAAATGTCTTCTTGGCCTCAGTGGGTCTGCAACAGGGATGAGTGCTCCATCCTGAATAAGTGAGCTGCAGGAAGTGATAAAAGTGTCTCAAAATGAAATAGTTGTAAGTGGGCAAACATCTCTCTCTAAACAGCTCTATAGCATCTCTTAACAACAGCTCCATGGAAGTCAGTCTCTGCTGCCATTCACTTCTTCTTAAAATGTCGATGGTGGACGCTTGCGAAGGTGCCCAGTAGTAAAATTGTTTACAATATATTTTTACAATAAAAGTTCCTCCCAAACAATTGATTATTGCACAGTAAGCCATACTGTACACCACAATAACAGAATATGGTAGGTAACCAGTACGTAAAAAAATACTTATACACTCTAAAAAATAATGCACTGGCTCTACTTAAAAACATTAAGGTATCAATCTATTTTTCTTATAATTCCAACTCAAGCCATTTTTGAGTATGTCTCATGAGTCTTTTATAGTTAGACTAACTCAATTAGTTTAATAACCAACATGATTTGCTTTGTCATCTACATAGCTTAATTAAGATGAACCAACTTAATTTTATTGATAAGGATTTGGTGTTATTAAGTGGTCGGAATATTACATTTTAAGTTATTCAAACTTCTTTGTTTTACTTTCAATCTACTCAGAAATGTCAATGCAACATGTTACCTTATTTTTTTTGAGTATAATCAACTTATTTCACTTAAATCAGAATAAATTACACATAGCAATTGTAGTTTCAACAAACTTTATTGTAACCAGTACCAACTACACATTACAGCTGCTGTATTTTGCTCAACAACACACAACATATAACAGGTGCAGCCTTTTCTTGTGGTATTGTTAGGACAGAAGTTTACTTTTTAGATAGGCTACATTACCTTCAGACTGGCTTTCAGACCATCCAGCTCAAGGAATATCTTTTGAAACTTTTCAAAAGTTTTTTTCAGTTCTTTTGATATGGTGTTTGGAGTGCATATATCAGCCCTATTAGAAAGGCACAAGCTCTGGGTACATCCAGGTCTTTCAGGACTTCTGTTCCCTCAATCACAATTGAAAAATTACAAAAGGATGAGGCCTGGGCTGTTTCAAATAATACATTTTAAAGAAAGCCATTATAACTACTTAGAATGTTGTAATGCCAAATCAAAAAAAATCTCCAAAATAATACAAGATGATTCAAATGTTCAAACTTACAGATAACTAGCACACACAGGACAAACGCACATGTTGCAACAATGGCGTTTCTAAACCGTGGTGCCAGCTTTACAGCCCACCTTTGCACAGCGCTGAATCCACTGAATAAAAACTAAACAAAAACTGTGGCTCAATTAATCAGTTTAAACCTCACTGAAATATTACAGCTTAAACAAATAAATGAATAAAAAAAAATGTCACACCGAAATATGTGGCATAACCTATATTGTTTAATCATGAATGTAAATTGGCACCCCCAATGGCTGTTGCAGACCAAACGTGCATCAATGTAAATTATTGTCTATTTTAAATTAAGAGCAAGCTAAATGCATATTTGCTAACCTTTGCAGTGTTACAACGAATGCTTAAGAGGTTCAATGCCAATCAATGCCTTTGTGAAACAAATCACAAAAACAACTGGGACTTAACTAGTAGGAGCTAGCTAAAACTCTACCATCTTTAACACTGAATTAGTTTAGGAGAATAATTCAAATTTTAGCGTTGTGAAAATACAGTTTTTTGACATGTAGGCAGTTATTAATGTTAGCTATTGCTGATAAAACAAGTCAAAAATAATACTTACCAAGTAGCCCACCTTTATGTCATGAAACGCAAAGTTGCTTTCTCCCACACTTCTGTCTTGTGTGTTGCAGGCTTGTTCTGGTGGCAAAACAAGTCCGGACAAGTTCTGCGTCATAACTTACTCATGATTTTAAAGGATGACCACTAGGTATATGAGTAGCCCTAACTTTTAATATTGTCTGTTGTTAAATGAACTCAGAAAAGTTCAATAAAAATCCACTTATTTCTGAGTTAAGACAGATTTCTATATTTTATGTTTGGTCAACTTCTTAAAATAAGTTATCAATTGAATAAAACAAGTGCATCTAACAAACTTAATTTTTAATAGTAAAAAAGCTCTTAATTTTTAAGCTGGACTTACTAACCCCATGAATCATTTCTTAGAGTGTAGTATAAATGATTTTTGTGAATGTTAGTTTCTTTCTGATGAGCATTTGGCACCTTACATTACAGCCACTGGCATCATTGTATGAATATGTTTGTGAATGGGTGACTGTGACATTTAGTGTAAAGCGCTAAACACAGCTTTCACTACCACCCCCTTCACCCCCAAACAAAGCAGTCTCTCCCGACTTTTTAACTAATATCATATTCATAACAGCAGCAAGGAGTAGGCTATAAAGCATATAGCCTAGGCCTAACGTTTCTTAACACCACCCGCTGAAATAAAAAAATTAAGCAAGTAAATCCCAACTTTTGAACTACTGTTTTTCTGCACATGTAGCCTATTAATAAGTTGAAAGCTTTTTGCTGGTACAGAGTTTACAATAGCCTCTTTCCCGCGTTCTCCTTTCTACCTTTAGTTTTTGGCTATCAGTAGAAATGAACAACAGAAGGTCCGGTGCCGTTGACCTGCCTGACAGTGGTGGCTCTTCTCTCAGATTACTTCTTATACTGCAAAATATAATCCATTCCATCATTTAAATGTGATCAAGATCAGTAACAGTAATAACACAACTCAAACTAATTCTTTGAAACACTCAAACTCAACCATTGTAGCAGTCCTACTACATCTTTCCCCCTGCCCTTCCAGGTCAGTGGTTGTTCACTCTCCTCGTTTACTCCTCTCACAGAGAGCGAAGTATCAGAACTCTTGACCCGTAGCCGTCCAACTACATGCCCACTGGACCGGATTCCTACGAATCTCCTCCAAGCCATATCTCCTACTGTGGTCCCGACAATCACTCATGTGATAAATACTTCTCTGGCTTCAGGAACCTTCCCGACCACTTTCAAAAGGGCTCGGGTTACACCCTTGCTCAAAAAGCCCTCACTTGACCCAACTCAAGTTGAGAACTATCAACCAGTGTCTCTTCTACCTTTTTTATCCAAAACTATTGAACGGGCAGTATTCAAACAGGTCTCAGAATTCCTCTCAGGGAATGACCTCCTAGATCCATATCAGTCTGGTTTTAAGAGTGCACACTCTACTGAAACGGCTCTTCTGTCTGTAACAGAAGCCCTAAGGTCAGCTAAAGCTATAGCCCAATCCTCAGTTCTTATCCTGCATGACCTATCAGCTGCCTTTGACACAGTCAACCACAGGATCCTGCTATCCGCTCTCTCAGCAATGGGCATCTCGAGTAAAGCACTCCTGTGGTTCGAATCCTACCTCTCGGGGTGTTCCTACAATGTTTTGTGGCAAGGACAATTATCCTCCTCCCACTGCCTCTCCACAGGGGTTCCCCAAGGCTCAGTACTTGGGCCCCTTCTCTTCTCAATTTACACCACCTCACTGGGGCCGATCATTCGCTCACATGGCTTCTCTTACCACTGCTACTCAGACAACACGCAACTCTACCTATCCTTCCTGCCAGTCGATCCCACTGTCTCGGCGCGGATCATGGACTGTCT